AACTGCTGGTCTGTTCAGCATCCCTCTGGCCTTCTAGTCCCACTCACTCAGGTTGCCTTCGCCAACTGCCAGTCCATCTGCCTCCCCTCCAGATGCCACTCAGCTGCACCCACTCAGGATCCGTGAATTAGCTGTCCTGCTCTTGGCTCTGCCCCTCAGCTGTTCGACCCTTGGCTCCACTGGTATATTCTCTCAGCCCAGTCTCCTATGTGACCGCTACTCAGCTGATCACTCTCCAGCTCCGCTGCTCAGCTGTTCATCACTTGGCTCCAGTGGCTGATTCCCCCAAGTCTCCCATGTGGTCGCTATTCAGCTGATCTCTCTCCAGCTCCACCGCTCAGCTGTTCATCTCGTGGCTCTGCTGGCCAATTCCCCCAGCCAAGTCTCCAAGGTGGCCAACATTCACCTGATGGTTCTACAGCTCTACTGCTCAGCTGTTCTTCTCTTGGCTTGGCTGATCTATTCCCCCATCCAAGTCTCCCATGTGGCTGTCACTCAGCTGATCTCCCTTCAGCTCCACCATGCTGGCACGGGAATTCTGGGAATTGAACTCCACAAGTCTTACAGTTGCCAAGTTTGGAGACCCCTGGCCTACAACACTTCCAACACTTCATAGTGCTTCACCTCTTCCAGCAGCCCTGCACATCACTCTCTTTAGCTTTCATCTTGAAGGTGAGAGTAATGGGGTTGGGAGTGAAGAGTGTTTGGCTTTGCCTTCAGTGAGTTCCTGGGAGGGCCAAGGTGGGAACAGGGACTCTACCTGGAGCTTTAATACAGAAGATTAGGCAGAGCAAGAGGCTTCCATGTTTCAATTGTGAACTGGCAGAGTCAGAGGAATCCCCCAGAGGTAACTTGGGGCACATGATGGAACATCAGCAACCTTTGCTCTTTTCTCTACGAGCATCAGGATATCACAGGCATGTACAAAAGGATCTTGCACAGGAAACTTCTGCTTTCATCAATTTGCTGGCTCACCCTAGTGCTCCAATTTTGACCCCAGGTGCTCCAGTTTTGACTCCAGGACCTAATTTTTCTGCTCCCAAAAACCAAGTAAAATCAAGAGGATTCTATGTTCCTTGCAGTACCCACCCATATTTTCCCATTCGCCTAGATCAGTGGTGGCAAACCTATGGCGGCACTCGGATCCCTCTCTGTGGGCACAAGTGCCGTTGCCCCAGCCTTGTCTCCCCCCACAACCCCCTCCTCACCAGCAGCCCCCCAGAGGAGAGTCACCCCCGACCGTGGCCCACACGGAGCAGTGCAGCCAAGGACATGGCAGCCAGACAGCGTAGTCAAGACTCTGCCCTCACGCCCCATCACGCACAGTTGATGCTGCGGGGCGCAGGCTGAGGGCGTGGCCACCATGGCACTGCTGGGCAATCTGCGGCGGGCCCTGGAGGCGGTGAGTAGGCCAGCGGGCAGTGGGGCAGGGTGGGGCAGGGGGTGGAGTGGGGGCGGGGCCAGTTTTTGGGCACTCGGTCTCTAAAAGGTTCGCCTTCACTGGCCTAGATATTTCATTCCACACAAAAAATGACTTCAATGATCTAGATTATGTTTACTGGATCTTCATAGTCTTTAAGACAAGGGTCCCCAACCCCCAGGCCGTGAACCAGTACCGGGCCATGGCATGCTAGCAACCGGTCCGCACAAACAAGCAAAGCCCCATCCGCGGGATGCAGGCAGCACACAAAACCATTCAACCTCCGGTCCATGGAAAAACCTCTCTGCACGGAACTAATCCCTGGTGCCCAAAAGGTTGGGGACCTCTGCTTTAAGGTATCTAATCCTATACTTTTTTCTTTGTTATTTTTCTCTTAACGTTCTCTTATTTCTCTTAACATTACTGGCATCGGAGCTTAAAATAGCAAGCGACTGAGATTCTTATATTCTCATATTTACCTTCCTGTAGTTGAAATCCAGTTTCCAGAGTATCTGGGGAAGAAAAGGGAGGGATTCAGCATCTCATCGCTGGAAATGGAGCAACAGAAGGGTTTCCCTACAGACACCCTGGTTTGCTTTCCTTGCACTCAAATCAGGAAATAAGGAATAAGGAATGCCACCAGCCAGAATGTCATAGCTGTTTATGTACATTCCACCAGTTATAAATATATTCTACAATATATTCCATATAAGGTAGTCCTTGACATAATCATTAGTTTAGTGATCATTCAAAGTTACAATGGCACTAGAAAAAGTGCCTTATGACCAGTTCTCACACTTAATGACAGTTGCAGCATCCCCACTCATGTGATCAAAATTCGGACACTTGGCAACCCTCATGTATTTATGGTGGTTACAACATCCCAGGGTCCTGGGATTGTCATCTGCCTCCTTCCTAGGGATTGTCTGACAAGCAAAGTCAATGTGGGAAAACAGATTAGCTTAACAATCATATGATTCACTTAACTGCAGTGATTTTCTCAACAACCTTGGGAAAAGAAAAGGTGTCAACTTTCGGCTTGGTGCCTCAGTGGCATCCTGCCATCAAAGACTAAGGGGGAGGGTACACAGGGAGAACAAATGGACAATAAAGATATACAGTATGGGGATGTGATGGGAAATAAGGAGTGGGGATGACAGCTTGACAAAGACCAGGGAAGTACAGAACCAGTTTGCGCCAACGCTCAAGGCCACGCCTGCTGAGATTGGAATGTGAACCATCCCAAACATCTCAGCCTTTCTCAAAACACCTGTGTGGCTCTTCAGCCTGGGGAGGACTGGGATGAGGGGAAACCTTTGTCATTTTTTCACACAGAAAATTCATTTCTTTTTGTTTGTTTGTTTGTTACCTCTCAATTTTTTAATGGCGCTTTTCAGAAGCACAGTAATATCGTTGTAATCCCAGATTGTCCACTTTTGTTCTAGAAGTAAATCCACTGGATTCTCAAGTGTTTTCTTTGCCTGGTACCTGGCAGAGCAAAACAACATTGACTAGAAGATGGGTATAACATTCAAATTGATCTTGATGGGTTAAAAGTAATGCCATGAAATTTAATAGAGATGACTAGAGTTACATGGAATCCTCTATTTATGATTATTTGTTAGCAACCAACACTGGAAGTTTTTAAGAAGAGACTGGACAGCCATTTGTCTGAAATGGTATAGGGTTTCCTGCCTGAGCAGGGGGTTGGACTAGAAGGCCTTGAAATACAATACATTGTCTTTAAATTAAATTACTGCGAAATACAAACAGAACTTTCCAAAATAGGAAAATTGCTGGAGGAGCTGCTGATCTCTGAGACTGTAAAGAGGAGTGTGGATTCACTTACTTCTTCAAGATGCTTCCAATGTCCTAAAAAAAGAGAGAGACAAAGCACTGAGCCATTTCCTATGCAGAAAATAAAATTCATATATTCATAAAATAAATGAGAGAAACCTCTGTACAACCAGGCACTAAAAAAATATACTTCCATTTTTATTTAAAAGAATCCCACTGCTCTTTTTTCCCCAGCAGTTCACCTATTTTAGAGAGGTATTGTTTATTTTTATTTTCTTGTTTTAGAAAAATCACACCCTGGTTGAATCCAACAGAATTAGAAAGATTATAGTATATATATAAAAATAATAAAACATCATAGCAAAAAGAAACAAAAAACATTTGAAAAAGAAAACAATGCATCAATAGAATACAAAAATTCCCTGCATTTATGCTTCTGGAATGAAGGCACTTTGGAAAATCCAAGTGGTTTTAACTTTGTAGAAGGCCATCAATTTTGGGGTTCTCCTTGCCCTGGAGATTAAGGGGAGGGAAGACCCTAAAAGAACACCCACCACCGAGTCCCTTCATAGGTAATAGGACCCCTCAGCAGGCATTCTTAAAACCATTGAGGGCGCTGACCAGCACTTTGAATTCTTCCTTTTCACATGGCCTGCTTTTTCTGAATTAAATATTAGCCATTGCAGGTAGTCCTCGACTTTCAACAGTTCATTTAGTGACCGTTCAAAGTTGCAATGGCACTGAAAAAAACTGACTTTTTCACACTTACAACTGCTGCAGCATCCCCTTGGTCACGTAATCAAAATTCAGCCGCTTGGCAACTGATGGTATTTTTGATGGTTGCATGTTCCCAAGGTCCCTTCCAGCCCTGTGATTCTATGATCTCAACTTCCTGCCTGACCTGTAAGAGTTTGCTGGCTGGCTGCTGATGCTTCTCCTCTATCTCCTGGATGAGATCGTCAAGAGAGCACAGTCCGGCCAAACCATTGTCCCTTCTTGCCAGAATCTCCTTCTCTGTCACTTCCATTCTGGCCAGCAGAAGCTTCTCCTGTCTTTTTAACCACCGTTGTAGTTCTCTGAATTCAGCCACTGCGTTTTTTTTCTCTTTTTTGATGAGGTCCTAGAACAAGAAGACAGAAAAAGCAAAAGGCATATTTTTATTTTATTTTAATTTTTTCACTTAATTATTTTTATTGTTATAATAACTAAACAGATTCCCTGAAGAGTCCAGAAACAAGATGGGAGAATTTCCTAGCCTAGGGAGAGAAAAAATCCCTTTTGACATCAACAAACATAGGGGGAAAGGTTTCTAAAAACCAAAAAAAGGCTCAAGTTAAACGATCTCTCACGAAAAGTTTCTGGGCAATCAGGAATTCCAAAAAAGTAGACAGAAAAATGTTTGATTTCACATTTGTTTCAATAAGATGAAATATGGTCTCCCTTAATTTATATGCAAACCAAACCCACTTTATAAAACATGGCTTGTGTGATAGGTGACCTTAACCCAGGGGTCCTCAACCTTGGCAACTTTAAGACTTGTGGACTTCAACTCCCAGAATTCCTCAGCCAGCAAAGGACCCCTGCCTTAACCCAACTGTGACTCATTCGGCCAATGGTGACATCCCAGTCAAAGATACAGTCCCCAGGCTAAGAACACGTTCTGTGCCCAAACACTGTCTTTAACTTCAATTTCATTTCAGTCAGAACTTCTACTTACAAACAGGCTGCCTATTATTGGATGACAGACGGTGTTCTCCTCCCTATTAGCTCAGAAGCTCCTCACCGTTGGATCAATACTTACAAGCATCTCCTGAACTCTTTGTTCGGTTTCGGTTTTGTATGTAGCTATTTTTTCTTTCTCCTCCTTCTGAGCCTTCAGGCAATCCCCAACCTTGAGCTGAAGAGAAAATACAAGTTTTGAGTTTCTTTTCTGTAAAGAATTACATCTGAGGGAAGACCTAATTAGAAGATATATGCAACCATCATAAATACATGGCAGTTGCCAAGCTTCCAAATTTCGAACAGTCACTTTGAACAGTCACTAAATGAATGGTCCTAAGTCAAGGAATACTTGTAATGGTGACTTCTGGTGAAAAGATGGACAGCTGAGAACATGCCCAGGGAAGGATCCCTGAAGCATCTTTCCTTGGACTGTAGCTTTTTCAACTACTAACATAAGAAACCGGCATTCCTGTAGTTTAAATCACCCCTATGGGTTAGGGAGAGTCCTAGAATTATCCCATAAGATCCTCTGATACAGCAAAGGTCTGCAAGGAGCTTCAGGAGCTTTGCTTCGAAACAGTCTGTGTGCCGAAAGCTGAGGGAGCGCTGCAATCAGTTTGTTGTTGAAGAAGCACCCATTTTGGAATTTATTTTTCAAACAGTGTTGTGCCTTTCATTTCTTAATCATTTTTAAGGACTTTTAATCTTTACTAAGCTAAAAGAGGCTCTCTTTATTCATAGCCTATTATTCCTTTTTGAAGATCTGCACCATTTTGGAGGTTTCTTCATTGTTAAACAACAAGGAAGAAGACTGCAGAAGGCAAGCTAAAATAAGGAAGTGTGGAATATCTTTTTTTNAAAAAATAAGTTGATGGAGAAATATTTAAGGATAGAAAGTTGTGGTTTTAGTTTATTATTTTTAGTAATTTGTAGCTTGGTCTGCTTTGCTGTGGGTGACTAAAACTTTCCGATTTTTATGATTTCTGACTGGCCAGCAATTCTTTAAAAATGCTACTTTTTGACAAAAGAGGACGTTAAGAAGATGGAGGAGCAAAATATTAGAGATGTATTTGAAAAATCTTTACATAAAATCCATCGGTTCATATATCAACTATGCTCCAAGGATGTTAAAAAAAAGCTTCTCAAACTTCATCAGAGATATAAATATGTGTAGAAAGTTACCAAACCACCGAAGCAATTGCACAAGTAGCTGACAATGCAGAGGAGTCAATTGCAATTTTTGAATATAAACCTGACACCAATTTTTATTATGATAGTTTAAATATAAACCTCCCAACACAATTAAAAGAAGGGCTCCAAGAAAATCTGCAACTTTTAAAAGAACAAGTATGGGAGAAATCCTTGAGAAAAAGAGAAGCTCAGTCTGATATTTGTAACTGAAAGTAAGTCTTACGGTAATCTAAAATTTGAAAACATATTTTTTTCCTTTATATATAATGCTCAAGTAATTTATAAAGTTTGTAAAATATTATTAAAAATGAATTTGAAAGTATATTAAAAGCAAGTTAGAGAAAAAGATCTATTAGCTTAAAAAAACTTTAGAGTTTTAAAAAGGATGTTTACAAGAAGAAAAAAATTATTCTATGAGGGTAACTTGGAGGGAGTGATCTAAATTTAATGAGTTAATTGGAGTTAGTTGGAATTGTATTGGTCTGAAAGTGAACTTTAAAGTACACATGTTAAGACAGAATTTTTAAAAAGATGTATTAGAAAGCTTTGATTTTAGAAACATTTTAAATAAAAGTTTAGTGCTTTAAAATGGCTGAAAAAGTATTTTCCTTTTAAACAATCTGAAAGAATACAGTGATTTTTTTAAATATAAATGGTGATAGTTAATAAAGATCATTAAGTGCAAATAGAAATACATATTATTTCCACAGCAAGGAAGATAAAGCAGAAATGGTTAAATTGATTGTTTTATTCAAAGAGGCGGATATACATAAGTATGCTTTTTATTTGGATATCACTTCTGGATTTTGTGCTTGTGATGAAAAAAAATGAATGACTTTGGTTTGGCTGATCAGATAAATTTGATGTTATAGAAATAGCTAGTTATATACTAATGTGGAAAAGTAAAAAGTTGAGGCTCAAATGTTATCTTGTACTGTGCTAAAAGGACGGAAGTCAATGTTCTTTTCTTTCTTCCCTTGCATCTCACATTTTCTTTCTTCCGTTTTTTTCCTTCCATTAATTTTCTATTTTTATTTTATTGTTTTATCAGTGTGAATGGACCTTATTGTGCTTATGATTTTATTAGGCTTAAGCTTGATATTGGTAGTTATTTTGTAGCTATTTTATATAAATTTTTATATGCAAGCAGTTTTATAGATAGAAGCAAGTGTTTTATGTATACTGAAAATTGTAAATGTTTCATGCTAAATATACAGGAGATTGCTTACATGAAAGGAGCAAGGTAAGGTTCAGTGGTCCAAGAAATAGGGAGGGGGGAAGATGAGTTAGCCTGGATTGATGTATATGAGCCACCACCTTGGAATTTGTTTTCCTGTGCGTCCTTGCTCCTGGTACAGAGACTTGAATCTCTTTGTTCTGAAAAGGCATAAAAAGTGGAAGAAGTCTCTTCTGGGTGTGCCTTTGTCCCTCTGTTGTTGTTGTTAATTGCGAAGTTGTGTCCGACCCATCGCGACCCCATGGACAGCGTTCCTCCAGGTCTTCCTGTCCTCTACCATCTTCTGGAGTCCCTTTAAGCTCACACCTACTGCTTCAGTGACTCCATCCAGCCACCTCATTCTCTGTCGTCCCCTTCTTCTATTGCCCTCAATCTTTCCCAGCATTAGGCTCTTCTCCAGTGAGTCCTTCCTTCTCATTAGGTGGCCAAAGTAATTGAGTTTCAACTTCAGGATCTGGCCTGCTAAAGAGCAGTCAGGGTTGATCTCCTCTAGGACTGACCAGTTTGATAGCCTTGCAGTCCGGGGGACTCGTAGGAGTCTTCTCCAGCACCATAGTTCAAATTCTTTGGCGCTCAGCCTTTCTTATGGTCCAACTTTCACAGCCATACATTGCAACTGGGAAAACCATGGCCTTGACTATACGCACTTTTGTTGGCAGGGTGATGTCTCTGCTTTTTAGTATGCTGTCTAGATTTGCCTTTGTACCTCTAAACAGCCACAAAGAGGGAGAAGGTTACCTAGCTCTGTCTTGGCTAAAATAAAGTTGCTTTTCTTTGCTGAAACCTCGGCTCAGGAGGTTTCTTTGAAATTTCTGAGTAGCGCAGGGAAATTTGTGAGGTTAAGTGGAAAACCTTACAAATGTATAAAATGCAAAGTCATGAGGTAAAGGAATACTTATAATGGCAGGAAAGTGAGCTGCCTGAGTCTCCCGGTTGCAGTCATCTGAGAAGCATCAGATTAGCCACTGAGAAACAAAAGTTTGGGCTGAGATGGCTTTGGCCTGATCCAGCAGGAATATTTTTGGGTATTTCAAGACTTTGCAGGACTCTATAATGATCTTGCTCTATAGCAAACATAGAAAAATGTCATTTGAAAGAAAGTCTACTAATGTTTCCTTCTCCATCTGCTCTCTAAACTTCAGCCAGTTAATCCTCTTGCTGATATTTAGATTAGATCTTTCTTATCTTTCCTTAGAAAAAGTGAGCTGGCAAAGAGTTCTATTTCTCCACTGCTAAGCATGACAGTTAAGTGAAGTTTTGTCCCATTTTACAACTTTTCTTGCCACAGTTGTTAAGTGAAACACTGCAGTTGTTAAGTTAATCACACAGCTGTTAAGTGAATCTGGCTTCCCCATTGACTTTGCTCATCAGACGATCTCAAAAGGTGATCACACGACCCTGGGACACTGCAACATGACAGTTGTCAAGGATCTGAATTTTGATCAGTGAAGCAGGGATGCTGCAGTGACCATAAGCATGGAAACTGATCATAATAACTATTGTAACATTGAACCATCACTAAATGAATGCTGGTAAGTTGAGGACTACTTGTTAACCTGTTTTTTTTTAAAAATGCAGGAACAGGGGTGGGATAAAGCAGCAGGAAGCAAGTAAACTGCTCCAAACGTAACTAGTGCTGGTACTGGATGGCCCTCCGCAGGGATTCCTCCTGGATGATTCCTACCTGGTACTCCTGGAAAGCCTCCTCCGCAGGGATCACCAAGTGGCCCCTGTGCTTTTTGGATCGGTTGCAGACCACGCAGATGAGGGTCTCGTGGTGCTTACAAAAGAGCTTGAGGGGCTCCCGGTGCTTCGGGCAGACGCTCCCTCCTTCCTCGCCCCAAGGATCTTCGCATCTCCTGGCCATTTCCACCAGCCGCGCCAGCTGCCTGTTGGGCAGGACGTTGCGGGGCTTGAAGGTCTGTCTGCACTGGGGACAGGAAGCCTCCGATTCCGACGTTCCCCAACTGCCGGTCAAGCAGCCCCGGCAGAAGTTGTGGCCGCACTCCGGGATGAGCACGGGGTCCTGGAAATACTCCAGGCATATGGAACAGGTGGCTTCTTCCAGCAAATACTGCAAGGACGCTGCGGCCGCCATGGCTGTCTCTCCCGCCGAGAGAAGGAAAGAGAAAGTTAGTGTTGCATCTTTTCCTATGAATCAGATGACCGCCTTTGGGCTGTGTCCAAGCGGGAAATCGAGATGAATTATTGTTGGTGTTGCGGTCAACTTCGCTGACTTTTTAAAATAAAAAGAGAGTATTTTTTTTAAAAAGCAAATTGGGAAAAAGCGGACTCCCGATCAATTATTATTGGCCCAATCAGCTCGTTAAAGGAAAAATTCTTTTAAAAACTGGGGAGAAGCAAACATGCATGGGACGGATCCCCGATCAAGTACAATTGATCCCAGCATTCTGTTAAAGGACGGGTGGGAGAGGGGGTTAAAAAAAACTAAGGAAATATTCTTGGGGCGGACCCCGACAATTATTGCTCCAAGCATTCTGCTAAAGGAAAATATATTGGAAAAAACCTGGGGAGAAAGAAACATCCATGGAACGGACCCCCTATCAATTAGAATTGATCCCAGCATCTTGTTAAATGGGGGGAAGAGTTTTTAAAAACTGGGGGAAAGCAAACATTCTTGGGACGGCCTCTCCCTCCCCCGTCAATCAATTATTGATCCAAGCATTCTGCTAAAGCAGAGGTGGGGAACCATGGGCTCCATATGACCTGTGGCCTTCAACTCCCAGAACTCCTGAACCAGCATGGCTGGATGAAAATCTTCAGATTAGAGTAGACTAATAAAGTCTCTTAAGGCAAAAAAAAAATAATGGATAGAAAGAATAATTAGTAGTCTCAGGCTAATCTAAGACGGGGTCCCATGGGGTGAGGGGAACCTGGTGGGTGGAGAACATCTTATAGGACCTTTGTTCAAGGGCTTTTGGGGGAGGCTTCCTTAGCCACAATGGGGTCCCCGAGGGGACGTAGACACTCCCAAGCCCTTTCCTTTATTTTACCTTTTCAGTGGTGGCACCTCATTTATGGAATGCCCTTCCCTCAATTGGCACCCACAGTGGCATCATTTTGGCACCAGGTAAAGATCTTTCTATGTTGGAGGGAGGGAGGGAGGAAGGAAGGAAGGAAGGAAGGTGACTGCGACTATTGTACTACTACTAAACAGATATAGGTCTTGGAAGCTAGGCCTAATTTACAGAACATTTACATCTAAATCTCTTTTTAATATTCCATATTTCTATTGCAGGAAAACCTTCAATCTAGGAAGATTTAACATGTTATCATCAAATGTGTTAAAGGGAAGTATTGTATAGCAAAATCCCATTATCTATGTTTTTAAAGTCCGTATCCTAGTTAATAAAATCACCTGAAAACATTTCTCTGTATCTTGCTGTAGCATCCTTTTTTACACTAATTGACACTGTGAGCTAATAATTCGGTTCCTAACTAAGTGTTCAGGCTGGGCTGAAAATAGGATGATTTTTTTTATTAGCAGATGAATTCATCACAATCTACATAAAAAGAATTAAATTCTGTTCAGTTGGGATCACCATTCAAAAGCACTATGTTTGATTGTAGCCTGATAGTTTATTTTTATTTCCTCCTTTTTGTCTCCGTTTATGTGATTAAAATATTTAACTAGCTTTCTTGGACTGTAGCTATAAATAAAAGAAACTTTAAATCTTTCAGATGAAGACCATGGCAAATCACTATCATGGTACCCAAAAAATTGCATGGACATGTTCATGGTATCACCAGGATTCTATTCTATTCAGCGGATTTTATTTTTTTTATACTTCTGCAACCCCATTCAGTGATTTGTAAGTGAACCTGTGAGAGAGCTTATTTCATTTTCAGGAATTATTATTATCATTAGATTAAATCATTACTACTGTTATTAAACATCCACGTAAAAAGAGATGTCTCTCAGTACAAAAAAACAAAATTCTTATTTAAAATGCACCCTCCCACCACCACCAGGGCACAATCTAAGCACTATCAAAATTACAAATGAAAACTTCCAACAGTTAAAATTACTGTTATTGTTTTACTGCCATAAAAGCCATGAAATCCATAACCACCACGATCTATTTATAGCCAGGGTAAAAAAATAACCCATGAACGATACTATCTTAATCCTCTAAATCTGACGCCTATAATAATATCCAGAGCAGAGGCCCTTTATTGACATGAAATGCCACAAAGAAATGGGTGCATTGCAATCGAAGGCGGGATGAAATTGATTGCAGACCCTGAAAACCCCTGAGCTCGTACCTCCCATTCAACAGGTCTTTTCCTCTCTTGCAACCATGCTTACAAACCCAAGTAACCTTACTTGAACTGAGTTTGGCTGGGCAAAGCAAACTAGGCTTGTTTAGAGCTGCTATGGGTTGGCAAAGGCTGGGTGTCAAATCCTTCAACTTTGCAGGCCTAATTTTCCAAAACAAACTCGCTGGCCCAGCTGCATCTAAAATTCACATTTGTCCTCTCCTTCCCCATAGCTCCACCCACATTTCCTCCGCTCCTCCCCCCACAAAAAGGGGAGGGGCCTTTCCATTGCTAGCCAATCCCATCCCCCCATTGGTTCTCACAGACCCCTATTTCAAAGGCCCTGCTCCCCAAAAACGGGGAGATGCTGCAAAGCAGGAAAAACTGTAGTGGGAACCAACAAAGGCCTCAGGGATGGAAGCCCCGCCCCTTATTTACATATGGGTAGAAGGCGGGTCTGGCTGCCATCTTGACTTTGTTGACCTGCTTTTGCTGTAATCCCCATCCCTTTGAGAGTCTGCTAGATCAGTGGCTCTAAATTTGGCGTCTATGAAAGTCAGATAAATAAGCATTTTTAACATTTCTCATTTTTAATGTATATAGACATTAAAAAGTGTCTTATGACAGATTCATACACTTACGACCATTGCAACACCCCCCCTGATTATTGAATCAAAATTAAGTTGCTTGGCAATTGGTTCATATTTATGACGGTTAGAGTATCCCGGGGTCATGTAATCATCTTTTGTGACCTTCTGACAAGCAAAGCCAATGGGGAAGCCGGATTCGCTTAACAACTGTGTGACTAACTTAACAACTGCTGGGATTCACTTAACAACTGGGACAAGAAAGATCGTCATGGAGCGCTACCCCACAAAGAGTCACTGGGGTCCAGGTTCCCCTGGCCCTCTTTTCCAAGCGCCCGGGCACCTTCCCCTGCTACAGTCCATGGTTGGGGCTGCCCGTCCATTCTGCTCCCTCCCTCAGACACCTCCACTTGCCTGGGTCAGCAGGACTATGCTGTCTTGTCCTTCCAGCTGGTCCCTTGGGCAGCCTCCTCCCACAGGTGGGTGACACGGTGTGGGGGTGGTCAGACGGCCAGTCAGCCATTCTTCCTCTCTCTCTCCTGATGCTTGCTGGTCTCTCCTGCCACTGCCTCTGCTCCTCCGTTGATTCCCCTGCTTGCCTCTCTTTCTCTCCATCTCTCATTTTCCTTCCTTCTCCTCCTCCTTTCTCAACCTTTCCTCACAGACTTTTCCCTACCTTTCCCTCACATTCCTTTCTCCCCCTTTCCTATCCTCATGCGTCGCTCCCCCCCCTCATTCCGTGGGGTGGAGGCCAGGTGAGCGGGACGCCCCACCCCCCTCCTCTCTCTTCTCTGCCCCCAAAGACTCCCCTCTCCCTCTCGCCCCTTCTATCCCCTGCTCCCCTCCTCTTTCCTGCCAAAACCTCCTTTTCATTCCCTTCTCCCTCTTCCCCCACGGTTGTTAAAATGGGGCAGAACTCATTTAACAACCGTCTCACTTAGCAGCAGAGATTTTGGGCTCAATTGTGGTTGTAAGTCCAGGACTACCTGTATTAGGTATGTTCATTTGAATTCCTCACGTGCTCCTTTGCCAGCAGCAGTTTGTCCATCTTCAATTGTTTAGATGCTTTGAGATGTTCCAGAGAGCTGCGGTTAGCATTCAAAGTCACCATATCAGAGTTAAGTTTCACTCACTGTATTTATATATTTGTTGGTTGGTTGGTTTATTATGTGTAACTCGCCTTTCTTATTTTTACAAATAACTCAAGGTGGCAAACATATCCAACACATCTTCCTCCTCCAATTTTCACCACAACAATAACCCTTTCAGTTGGGTTGAACTGAGAGAGAATGACTATTTCAAACTCACTCAGCTGGCTTTCATGGCTAAGGCAGGACTTGAACTCACAGTCTTCCTCTTCCTAACCTGGCACCTTAGCCACTAGGCCAAACTGGATCTGACTCTCATCTCTTAATATCGAAGCCACTTTTGGGGTGCCTCAGATTGTTGACCCCTGGTGACTGCCTTGGAGGAATCTCCCTGCACTTTTCTTGGCAAGGATTCGGGAGTGGCTTGCCATTGCCTGCTTCCTAGGGCTGAGTGAGAGTGACAGGTCCAAGGTCATCCAGCTGGCTTTGTGGGTAAGGCAGGATTAGAACTCAGGGTTTCTAGCTTGATTTCTTAATCAGTACACTAGATTGGCTTATTTTACAGTTAATAAAAGGCAAAATGGCTTCAAGAAAGAAGGAAAAAGAGTGCTATTTGGCATCTTGTTGAATAATGTATTTATTTAATAATATATTTCATTTTTACAATTCAATTTAGAAGGCCACCCTGATATGCAGGTTCTGAAGTTTTGCTTGATAAAAAATACAGGAAACCAGAAGCTGCCTTTAACCTTTTACATTTTTATTCAGCTGAACAAAGACGGGCTCCTCTAAAAGAGAGAAGCCCCGAATGACCAGAAATCCTTGTATTTATTCTTTCTGATTACATAAGCAACCCATCCAGCAAAGCTGACACACGTAAGATAAAGATTTCACCCAGTAAGTCTGGCACACTGTAGATAAGAAGGGAAAAAGCAGAAGTAGCTAAAAATGTTCCCTTTTGGGTGTTGCCCTAAAGACATTGTACGTTCCCAGGTGGGTTAGGACATTCGGTGTTTTCCTTACTGTCCTTTCATGACCCTGCATCCATGACTCTGTAAATGCCCAAAGACAGCAGGGCCATCTGCACATATTCACAACTGATACTTCCTATGCTGTCTCCTAATTCCGGGTCAATAACCCAACTGCAAGCAATTCAGTGAGGCAAAAAGCTAAGAAACCACTGCTTTAACGGCTTTTAGGCACCACTGCTTAGCAAATAGAGATTTTTCCAAAGTATTGTCTATGGATTCCCCTTATTTTAGAGAAGTGTTATGCAGGCGCCATCACGCAAAAAGAAACAGGGCAGAAGGGTCTCTCCAACCAAGGAAGCGTCTGAGAATGTATGGAGCAGAGCTGCTGTCCTGGCATCAAAAAAGCTCACTTGTCCCCCTTCGCAGTTGAGAGAGATGCGGATCCTTGTGGGCTTCTCGGTCAGGACCAGTTCAGAGCATACTGATGGAGAGAAGATTCTATATGTCCCTTCCCATAACCCAATCTGCCAGCGTCTGGTCTGCAAATCAACATTTGTTACGTTCACTGGCTTGTTGGCAACCCCTACACGCCATCCAGCTGTATCTCCCACAATAACTTCCCAGAAATGTCGCCCTGTTGAGAACCTCTGACAGCCAAGGACATAAGGATTATATTCAAATCTCTTCCAGTTTGCCGCAGGATATTTTGCTTTAACTGGCTTAACTGCTTTGATGCTTTTTTTATCTTCGGAGATGTCAAGACGGCCAGGATGGGCTGTATCTGGATCCACAATTACATTCACTGTAAGGGGAAAGGGAAGGAAGAACAAGAGCTTCAGCTGCAGGCCTGGTTTTTTTGTCTTGACCCCAAGAGTTCAACCCTACAGCCTCTTGTGTGAATGGAGTTCAGTTTCCAAACACCCCCTTCAGGACCGGAAGACTCATTGTTGGGTTTTTTTTAAACAACACCTAAGCATTGCCTGGTCCAGGCTTCTCCAACTTTGGCAACTGTAAGACTTGTGGACTTCAACTCCCAGAATTCCCCTGATGGGGCTGCTAGTGTCCAGGTCCATGCTCTGCACCCTTTTCCGTGAGCACTTGGCTCTCCCACTGTCTTAATTCCATCCTCTGTTAACTTCCGAACTGTTCAGCATCCCTCTGGCCTCTGGCCTTCTAGTCCCACTCACTCAAGTTGCCTTCGCCAACTGCCAGTCCATCTGACTCCCCTCCAGATGCCACTCAGCTGCACCCACTCAGGATCCATGAATTAGCTGTCCTGCTCTTGGCTCCACTTCTCAGCTGTTCGACCCTTGGCTCCATTGGTAGATTTTCCCAGCCCAGTCTCCCATGTGACCGCCACTCAGCTGATCTCTCTCCAGCTCCTCCGCTCAGCTGTTCATCTCGTGGCTCTGCTGGCCAATTCCCCCAGCCAAGTCTCCAAGGTGGCCAACATTCAGCTGATCGCTCTACTGCTCAGCTGTTCGTCTCTTGGCTTGGTTTATCTATTCCCCCATCCAAGTCTCCCATGTGGCTGTCACTCAGCTGATCACCCTCCAGCTCCACCATGCTGGGAATTGAAGTCCACAAGTTTTAAACAGTTGCCAAGTTTGGAAACCCCTGGCCTACAACACTTCCAACACTTCATAGTGCTTCACCTCTTCCAGCAACCCTGCACATCACTCTCACATCACAGGAAACCTCTGCTTTCATCAATTTGCTGGCTCACACTAGTGCTCCAACTTTGACCCCAGGTGCTCCAGCTTTGATTCCAGGACCTAATTTTTCTGCTCCCAAAGACCAAGTAAAATCAAGAGGATTCCATGTTCCTTGCAGTACCATATTTTCCCATTCGCCTAGATATTTCATTCCACATAAAAATTGACTTCAATTATTTAGATTACATTTACTGGATCTTCATAGTCTTTAAGGCAGGGGTCCCCAACCCCTGGTCCATGAACCAGTACCGGGCCGTGGCATGCTAGCAACCAGTCTGCACAAACAAGCAAAGCCCCATCCGCGGGATGTAGGCAGCACACAAAACCTTTCAACCTCCGGACTGTGGAAAAACCTCTCTCCACGGAACCAATCCCTGGTGCCCAAAAGGTTGGGGACCTCTGCTTTAAGGTATCTAATCCTATACTTCTTTCTTTGTTACTTTTCTCTTCTCTTATTTCTCTTAACATTACTGGCATCGGAGCTTATAATAGCAAGTGACTGAGATTCTTATATTCTCATATTTACCTTCCAGTAGTTGAAATCCAGTTTCCAGAGTATCTGGGGAAGAAAAGGGAGGGATTCAGCATCTCATCACTGGAACTGGAGCAACAGAAGGGCCTCCCAAAGACCAAGGAAGTACAGAACCAGTTTGTGCCAGCGCTCAAGGCCACGCATGCTGAGATTGGAATGTGAACCATCCCAAACAACTCAGCCTTTCTCAAAACACCTGTGTGGCTCTTCATTGGCTGAAGACGAACTGGTCATTGGGGGGGATGAGGGGAAACCTTTGTCATTTTTTCACCCGGAAAAGTCATTTCTTCTCTTTTGTTACCTCTCAATTTTTTCATGGCGCTTTTCAGAAGCACAGTGATATCATTGTAATCCCAGATTGTCCACTTTGGCTCTAGAAGTAAATCCACTGGATTCTCAAATGTTTTCTTTGCCTGGTACCTGGCAGAGCAAAACAACATTGACTAGAAGATGGGTATAACATTCAAATTGATCTTGATGGGTTAAAAGTAATGCCATGAAATTTAATAGAGATGAATATAGTTACATGGAATCCTCTATTTATGATTATTTGTTAGCAACCAACACTGGAAGTTTTTACGAAGAGACTGGACAGCCATTTGTCTGAAATAGTATAGGGTTTCCTGCCTGAGCAGTGGGTTAGATTAGAAGACCTCCAAGATCCCTTCCAACTGTATTATTATTATTATTGAATTTTTTATTGATTTTCTATTTTCACATTTAAATATTTGAAAAGCAACGTGGCAGCTGAGTTGGTCAATAATTCAATAACATACAAATATCTTTAGTCCAAATCTCAAACTATTGCATTAAATATTTCCTCTCTTTTCCCCTCAGTATTCACTGTCTCGCATTTAAATTAATACAATTCTTACTATATCAATTAAATAAAAATTACTTTTTTACATTTATCAATAATTTTTGTTTATACATATCCTAGTTATATTAACATTCAATCTTTTTAGACAATCAATGTCCTGGTTAGATTTTCCCAATTTTTAGTTTACCATTAATATTTAAATTTAATGTTTAGTATTTATGATTTCCATGTTTTAATTAATCCCAATTCCCTTTATCACAATTCATCACAAGATCTAATATTCAGGATACATGTCTTATCTATTTGAATTCTCACCATCTTACATCAACCAATTAATAGTACAATATAATATTCTTATTTTCTAATAATTTCCAAATATCTTTAATTTAATACCCAAAATTTCTCTTATTTCAACATTTAATACTTCCTCTCTTCTTCTCTTAATTTCTAATATCTCATATTTAAGCTTATTTTCCCCCCCGCTAAGTAAGAAACATATTCATTACATTCATCAATAAATTTTTAGCTTATATATATCTTAATTATCTTTACATTTAACCTTTATAAGCAAATCAATGTTCAAATTCAACTGTTAATATTTTACTTCCAAGTTTTAGATGATCAAAGTTTTCTTTATCTCCACTCATAACAATATCTAGTATTCAAGATACACATCTTATCTATTTGAGTATGTTCTATTTTAATTCTCTTTACATTTACTTCTATATTTGGACTCACAAGTCCACAGCACCCCACTTTTCTTCAGTCTTATTCTAGTTTCTAGTTTCCTTCTTTGCCAAATCATCTTCCCTGTCCGTGCTTTTGAATCATCAAATAAATCTCCCTGCATTGTCATGAATATTGTTTGGCGTAGAAGGAACCATCCGGTTGCCATTTTTTGGAGAGGACTCACAAATCTTCTCTCTATTTTTCCATCTCGACGTAGTTGTCCTGAGCTGTTTATCTTCTCTTCAATCTGTTCTTCTTGATCCTCAGGTTTCTTCTGATTTGTGTAGAAAGCCTTTTCCCTTTTTTATATTGTTAGTCCCTTTTCTAGATTTTCCATTCACTGTATTTGTTGATCAGTTGAGTCTTCTGTCATCATATTTAATTGTTCCACTTTTTCTGTTATGTTCTGTATAGTTAATTCTTTAATTGTAGTCAAAGTTTGAGTTCGTATCTCTTGGGTGACATCTTGTTCTTTTCTGTAACCTCTTATTTCATCAGTAGCTGTTAGAATAGTTTGATGAATTGCTTTCAACATAAAGAGAATCTGTTTCTGATCTTCCTCCATATTCTCTTAGTATAATATTAGGTTAACAGCTTTACAATCAGAAAATTCAAGAAAATTTTTTTATCACTGAGTATAGAACACAGCTGAGCTTCTTCTCACAGCTGATGTCTCAAGGTTACAGTCTTATCTATTGTCTGAGCTGCTTGCCAAGTCTCTTTTAAGCAATAACAGATTGTAATATCAGGTTCAGCCACAAGATGTCGCCCCTAATTTAAAGTTTTCTTTTGAATCCAATGTTTTTAAAATCTTTTTAGTTTAGCTTCTTTTTTATACAGTAAGTAAAAAACCCAGATCTTCTGTAAAAATAGAAAGTCTTTTAGTCCACAAACTTTAAGAAATAAACTTCCAATTAGGATCAAATTGTTCTTGCAACGTTTTTAAACTCCCCTGGATAGTCAATCGCCGCTGCTTCTAGAGGGAAGGATAAAATCTCCCTTCCCTCTCCATAGGGGGGAATGCGAAATTGGACGTGGAATGCGGAGCTCATCCAGCAATCCCCCAGCAATGTGTAATCCCAAAACATCTGGAGCACCATTTGAACACCATCAGCACTGAGAACACCACTATCAGATGATTGCAAAAGGCAGCTTTACTTAAAACAGCTTACATCCTACGATGATACCTTTAGCACCATCAAACCTCTATCTATTCTTGGGAAGGATTCAACAGGTGGATAAAAATACCAAATTCAATCTAAACATCTAGCTGACTGTGGGATCAACCACAATAATTCACCATATCAAATATTGCTAATTATATTGTGTTCAGGTTGTCTGTGGAAATATTTACAAGGCCCTGAAATACAATACATTGTCTTTAAATTAAATTACTGCGAAATACAAACAGAACTTTCCAAAATAGGAAAATTGCTGGAGGAGCTGCTGATCTCTGAGACTGTAAAGAGGAGGGTGGATTCACTTACTTCTCCAAGATGCTTCCAATGTCCTAAAAAAAAAGAGAGACAAAGCACTGAAAGGAGCCATTTCCTATGCAGAAAGTTAAATTCATATATTCATAAAATAAATGAGAGAAACCTCATTTACAACCAGACACTAACAAAAATATACTTCCATTTTTATTTAAAAGAATCCCACTGCTCTTTTTTCCCCAGCAGTTCACCTATTTTAGAGAGGTATTGTTTATTTTTATTTTCTTGTTTTAAAAAAATTATACCCTGGTTGAATCCAACAGAATTATAAATATAAATAAATAATAAAACATCATAGCAAAAAGAAACAAAAACATTTGAAAAAGAAAACAATGCATCAATAGAATACAAAAATTCCCTGCATTTATGCTTCTGGAATGAAGGCACTTTGGAAAATCCAAGTGGTTTTAACTTTGTAGAAGGCCATCAATTTTGGGGTTCTCCTTGCTCTGGAGATTAAGGGGAGGGAAGACCCTAAAAGAACACCCACCACCGAGTCCCTTCATAGGTAATAGGACCCCTCAGCAGGCATTCCTAAAACCATTGAGGGCGCTGACCAGCACTTTGAATTCTTCCTTTTCACATGGCCTGCTTTTTCTGAATTAAATATTAGCCATTGCAGGTAGTCCTCGACTTTCAACAGTTCATTTAGTGACCGTTCAAAGTTACAACGGCAAAGTTGCAAAAAACTGACTTTTTCACACTTACAACTTACAGCATCCCCTTGGTCACGTAATCAAAATTCAGCCACTTGGCAACTGATGGTATTTTTGATGGTTGCACGTTCCCAAGGTCCCTTCCAGCCCTGTGATTCTATGATCTCAACTTTCTGCCTGACCTGTAAGAGTTTGCTGGCTGGCTGCTGATGCTTCTCCTCTATCTCCTGGATGAGATCGTCAAGAGAGCACAGTCCGGCCAAACCATTGTCCCTTCTTGCTAGAATCTCCTTCTCTGTCACTTCTATTCTGGCCAGCAGAAGCTTCTCCTGTCTTTTTAACCACCGTTGTAGTTCTCTGAATTCAGCCACTGCGTTTTTTTTCTCTTTTTTGATGAGGTCCTAGAACAAGAAGACAGAAAAAGCAAAAGGCATATTTTTATTTTATTTTAATTTTTTCTCTTAATTATTTTTATTGTTATAATAACTAAACAGATTCCCTGAAGAGTCCAGAAACGAGATGGGAGAATTTCCTAGCCTAGGGAGAGAAAAAATCCCTTTTGACATCAACAAACATAGGGGGAAAGGTTTTTAAAAATGAAAAAAAGGTCCAGTTTAAATGATGAAAATTTTCTTTGGGAGATCAGGGATTCCACAAAAGTAGACAGAAAAATGTTTTTATTTTTGCATTCTATTGATGAATTATTTTCTTTTTAAAATGTTTTTTGTTTCTTTTTCCTATGATGTTTTATTATTTGATTTCACATTTTTTTCAGTAAGATGAAATACGGTTTGCATTAATTTATTATGCAAACCAAACCCATTGTATAAAATATGGCTCATAGGTGTCCTTAACACAACTGTGACTCATTCAGTCAATGGTGACATCCCAGTCAAAGATACAGTCCCCAGGTTAAGAACAAGTTCTGTGCCTGAACACTGTCTTTAACTTCAATTTCATTTCAGTCAGAACTTCTACTTACAAACAGGCTGCCTATTATTAAAGATGACAGACGGTGTTCTCCTCCCTATTAGCTCAGAAGCTCCTCACCGTTGGATCAATACTTACAAGCATCTCCTGAACTCTTTGCTCGGTTTCGGTTTTGTATGTAGCTATTTTTTCTTTCTCCTCCTTCTGAGCCTTCAGGCAATCCCCAACCTTGAGCTGAAGAGAAAATACAAGTTTTGAGTTTCTTTTCTGTAAAGAATTACATCTGAGGGAAGACCTAGTTAGAAGATATATGCAACCATCATAAATACATGGCAGTTGCCAAGCTTCCAAATTTTGAACAGTCACTTTGAACAGTCACTAAATGAATGGTTCTAAGTCGAGGAATACTTGTAATGGTGACTTCTGGTGAAAAGATGGACAGCTGAGAACATGCCCAGGGAAGGATCCCTGAAGCATCTTTCCTTGGACTGTAGCTTTTTCAACTACCAAGAGAAGAAACTGGAATTCCTGTAGTTTAAATCACCCCTATGGGTTAGGGAGAGTCCTAGAATTATCCCATAAGATCCTCTGATACAGCAAAGGTCTGCAAGTAGCTTCAGGAGCTTTGCTTCGAAACAGTCTGTGTGCCGAAAGCTGAGGGAGCGCTGCAATCAGTTTGTTGTTGAAGAAGCACCCATTTTGGAATTTATTTTTCAAACAGACTCACAACACGGAAAGTAAAGAATTAGTAAAAATTCCTGAAAATTAGAAATGATTCGATTTTCTCCGAGAGAAATAAGTATCGGATAATAAGGAAAAACTTCTAGACGTGGTAAAACCTCCAAAGAAGTAACAATTTGTTGTTCCTTCTTCTGACGTCTTCCGTTCGATTTTATTCCTTCACACCTTATAGAAAAAAATTTAAGTTGATGGGGAAATATTTAAGGATAGAAAGTTGTGGTTTTAGTTTATTATTTTAGTAATTTGTAGCTTGGTCTGCTTTGCTGTGGGTGACTAAAACTTTCTGATTTTTATGATTTCTGACTGGCCAGCAATTCTTAAAAAATGCTACTCTTTGACAAAAGAGGAAGTTAAGAAGATGGAGAAGCAAAGTATTAGAGATGTATTTGAAAAATCTTTACATAAAATCCATCGGTTCATAGATCAACTATGCTCCAAGGATGTTAAAAAAAGCTTCTCAAACTTCATCAGAGATATAAATAAGTGTAGAAAGTTACCAAACCACCGAAACAATTGCACAAGTAGCTGACAATGCAGAGGAGTCAATTGCAATTTTGGAATATAAACCTGACACCAATTTTTATTATGATCGTTTACATATAAACCTCCCAAGGAAAAGAGGAGCTCCAAGAAAATGTGCAACTTTTAAAAGAACAAGTTGGGACTTTTTTCTCATGGATATTAACAAAGTTGAGAAATCCTTGAGAAAAAGAGAAGCTTATAACTACTTGACAAATATTTCAGAGAAGAAAAATATTTTATTCTACGAAGACAAGCTGGAAGGAATGACTTAAACTTAATAATTGGAATTAGGATGAATTTTTATCGGTCTGATATTTTTAACTGAAAGTCTTAATCTAAAGTTTGATTTTTTTTTCTTCCTTTATATATAATGCTCAAGTAATTCCTAAAGTTTGTAAAATATTATTAAAAATGAATTTGAAAGTATATTAGAGAAAGTTAGAGAAAAAGATCTATTAGCTTAAAGAAACTTTAGAGTTTTACAAGAAGAAAAAAATTATTCTATGAGGGTAACTTGGAGGGAGTGATCTAAATTTAATGAGTTAATTGGAGTTAGTTGGAATTGTATTGGTCTGAAAGTGAACTTTAAAGTACACATGTTAAGACAGAATTTTTAAAAAGATGTATTAGAAAGCTTTGATTTTAGAAACATTTTAAATAAAAGTTTAGTGCTTTAAAATGGTTGAAAAAGTATTTTTCCCTTTAAAAAATCTGAAAGAATACAGTGAATTTTTTAAATATAAATGGTGATAGTTAATAAAGATCATTAAGTGCAAATAGAAGTACATATTATTTCCACAGCAAGGAAGATAAAGCAGAAATGGTTAAATTGATTGTTTTATTCAAAGAGGCGGATATACATAATTATGCTTTTTATTTAGATATCACTTCTGGATTTTGTGCTTGTGATGAACAAAAATGAATGACTTTGGTTTTGCTGATTAGATAAATTTGTTGTTATAGAAATAGCTAGTTATATACTAATGTGAAGTTATATACTAATTTGAAAGAAAATCTACTAGTGTTTCCTTCTCCATCTCTAAACTTCAGCCAGTTAATCCTCTTGCTGATATTTAGATTAGATCTTCCTTATCTTTCCTTAGAAAAAGTGAGCTGGCAAAGAGTTCTATTTCTCCACTGCTAAGCATGACAGTTAAGTGAAGTTTTGTCCCATTTTACAACCGTTCTTGCCACAGTTGTTAAGTGAAACACTGCAGTTGTTAAGTTAATCACACAGCTGTTAAGTGAATCTGGCTTCCCCATTGACTTTGCTCATCAGACGATTTCAAAAGGTGATCACACGACCCTGGGACACTGCAACATGACAGTTGCCAAGGATCTGAATTTTGATCAGTGAAGCAGGGATGTTGCAGTGACCATAAGCATGGAAACTGATCATAATAACTGTTGTAACATTGAACCATCACTAAATGAATGCTGGTAAGTTGAGGACTACTTGTTAACCTGTTTTTTAAAAAAATTGCAGGAACAGGGGTGGAATAAAGCAGCAGGAAGCAAGTAAACTGCTCCAAACGTAACTAGCGCTGGTACTGGATGACGCTCCGCAGGGATTCCTCCTGGCTGATTCCTACCTGGTACTCCTGGAAAGCCTCCTCCGCAGGGATCACCAAGTGGCCCCTGTGCTTTTTGCATCGGTCGCAGACCACGCAGATGAGAGTCTCGTGATGTTTACAAAAGAGCTTGAGCGGCTCCCGGTGCTTCGGGCAGACGCTCCCTCCTTCCTCGCCCCAAGGATCTTCGCATCTCCTGGCCATTTCCACCAGCCGCGCCAGCTGCCTGTTGGGCAGGACGTTACGGGGCCCGAAGGTCTGTCTGCACTGGGGACAGGAAGCCTCCGATTCCGACGTTCCCCAACTGCCGGTCAGGCAGCCCCGGCAGAAGTTGTGGCCGCACTCCGGGATGAGCACGGGGTCCTGGAAATAGTCCAGGCAGATGGAGCAGGTGGCTTCTTCCAGCAAATCCTGCAAGGGAGCCTCGGCCGCCATCGCTGTCTCTCCCGCCGAGAGAAGGAAAGAGAAAGTTAATGTTGCATCTTTTCCTACGAATCAGGTGACCGCCTTTGGGCTGTGTCCAAGCTGGAAATCGAGATAAGTTATTTTTGGTGTTGCGGTCAACTTCGCTGACTTTTTAAAATAAAAAAAGAGTATTTATAAAAAAAACAAATTGGGAAGAAGCGGACTCCCGATCAATTATTATTGGCCCAATCAGCTCGTTAAAGGAAAAATTCTTTTAAAAACTGGGGAGAAGCAAATATGCATGGGAGGATTCCCGATCAAGTACAATTGATCCCAGCATCCTGTTAAAGGACGGGTGGGAGAGGGGGTTAAAAAAAACTAAGGAGATATTCTTGGGGCGGACCCCGACAATTATTGCTCCAAGCATCCTGCTAAAGGAAAATATATTGAAAAAAACCTGCCTGAAAATAGGATGATTTTTTTTATTAGCAGATCAATTCATCACAATCTACATAAAAAGAATTAAATTCTGTTCAGTTGGGATCACCATTCAAAAGCACTATGTTTGATTGTAGTCTGATAGTTTATTTTTATTTCCTCCTTTTTGTCTCCATTTATGTGATTAAAATATTTAACTAAACCTGTAGCTATAAATAAAAGAAACTTTAAATCTTTCAGATGAAGACCATGGCAAATCACTATCACTGTACCAAAAAAATTGCATGGACATGTTCATGATATCACCAGGATTCAATTCAATTCAGCGGAGTTTATTTTTTTTATACTTCTGCAACCCCATTCAGTGATTTGTAAGTGGGCCTGTGAGAGAGCTTATTTCATTTTCAAGGAATTATTATTATCATTAGATTAAATTATTACTACTATTATTAAACATCCATGTAAAAAGAGATGTCTCTCAGTACAAAGAAACAAAACTCCTATTTAAAATACACACCCTCCACCACCACCACCAGGGCACAATCTAAGCACTATCAAAATTACAAATGAAAACTTCCAACAGTTAAAATTACTGTTTTACTGCCATAAAAGCCATGAAATCCATAACAGCCACAATCTATTTACAGCCAGAGTAAATAAAAATAACCCA